ATAGCACCAAAATACAATAAAATTAACCTGAATTAGCTTGACTTGTCGATGAGAAGTATTTATGAAATGTGGTGTTGCAATAAGAGAGAGCGATATTATGGCTGGAAGGTGAGTTATTGCCTTAATGTAATACTCTTTGAAATTTAAAAAAGAGACTGTTTCTGTGCAGGGTGATTGTGCTTTTGAAATTAAGTTGAAGTGATTCTTATAATTGGCAACAATAATGCATTTTGAAGGTAATATCTTTTATTGTGTTAAGTCTAGTTGCATTACCTTTTATTTAGAGGCTTCTGGCTTCAGCTTTTCCAACATACAGGTAGAAACAGACTTGGAGTTCTGACCATCGGGGGCTTGGGTGGTTTATTCTCTTTGTAGCAGAGCTCCTTGTCTGAAGGGAATGGGCCTTTTTCTTTGTTTTTTCCCATAGTTTATTAAGTCACTTAGATATGAAAGGCTAGATATTACAGTTAGTAAAAAGAAGTTTAAGGAAGGTTTGTTTTCAAAGTGTATATTGTTTTCCTGTCTTTGAGTTTGTGTGCTGGGACTTTCTCATTGTAGCCAGATGGTTTTCAACAGTGTCAGGTAATACGTGTTATAACCTTCCCCTTATAATACTAAAATGAAATTCATGGATAGCATCTCCTATACCTGCTATTCAATTCAAAAAAATTAAAGAAAGAAAAGAGCATAACTTATAATAACCCAGGTTTAGAACAGGAGTGCTTGGGCAGGGCTGTGCTAGGAGAGCTAATGAGGTCGTCAGGTGTACGTACCTAGAAGCACACGACATCTACATGTGAAGGCAGCTCCCTCATGGGACAGGCCTCATCTGAGCTGCGTGACATTAGGGGCATCATTTTGCCACAACGGTGGATAAACAACTTTTGGTCATTTTATAAAATAAGTGAAGTCCATCTTTCCATTGAATTACTCTGTAGTTGCATTCCTGAAAGTCATGAATAGTAAAATTGCGAACAATTCTGTGTTTCCCTTTATTAAATGGAGATGTGCTTTAGCGTCTGATTAATTTTAGACTGGAATATATTGCAGGATATTTGAAAATGACCAAGGATGTAGGATGATCCCATAGTCCGGATGGTCTGACATATGCCAGAACATTCCTAATTCCTGCCCTTTGAATGTTAATAGCTCCCACAGACTTTGTGACGACCAGAAAATCCCTCAGCATTTCCAGTATGTCCTGTTGAGAACTGCAGAAGACTCTGGGCGTTCCCATGTCATCCATGTTGTGAGAAGATCAGGAGCTTTCTTTCCTGGTGACTCTTAATAAGGTCTCTGGGCCATCCCATCTGTGCACAGGGAGTCAGCCCCAACACTGCCTGGATAGGGCCTTCTGCAGGCTAAGCAGGTACTCTTAAGCTATACTCCCAGCCCCATTTCTTTAAAAATCGTTAAGAATAACTTTTTGTCTGTATCTTACAATTCCAAAGTCTCAATTTTTGTGGGTCTGTCACTGTTTTGTTTGTTTTTGCTCATTCCCCCTCTTGATTTCTTTTCGAATGTACCAGACATTGTGTTTGAGAAACCATCACTGTTAATTTATAAGCATGATGGGAATCGTGAGGTGGTTGTACTTGGTCTGGAGCAGTTGTGTTCCCTTCAGTTGGATGCTGAGCCCAACAACCGAAGCAGGCACCATGAAGTTTCGGAGGTTGTGGCCTGGCTCTACGGGATCTGCCCACCTTTGCCACTGTGCCTCGCTCCTTACTGTTCACTGTTCTCTGCATCTCTTTGCAAGTCGGGGGGAGTCTGTTCTCACTGGAGATGTTTTTGGTTGTCCCAGATAAGGGATCACTACTGACATCCAGAGAGTAGAGGACAGGCACACCAGTGAATATCTCACATTGCACAAAACAGCCCACTAAACAAAGAATTATCTGGCCCCAAATATCAGCCATAGTTGAGGCCACTCATTGTTCTCTGTGTAAGTTGTTCAAAGCCTGGATGGTTCTCAGCCACATTTACCCTACTTCTGTTGATGACCTCCCATCCTCTCAAGCAGCATCCTTGTGGCACCATTTTCCATCTCTTTCTTACCCCTTTTGACCCCTCATAGCAATAGAGCGTTCTAGTTCTGTGGGTTTCTGAGAATCCACCACCTCTTTGTTCCTTTTAAAGCTATATAGGCCAAGTGAAATATCCATTCAGTGGGAATCACAGTTCCGGGTGATCTCTGAGCATCCACTTGGACCATCGCTCTCACGCCAGTACTGCTGACCGCCTAGTACCTAATCCTCAGACCTCCTTCACATCACCAGCCAGCCTGGCACCCTACGGGGCTGTCTTCCAGACTCTGCTCCATCCATGAGTCTACTTGCAGTTGGTAGAACTGCATTCTTCTTGTTTTTCTTTCTTGGTGACATTGCATACTTTGTTCCTTCCATTTAAAAACCCTATCTACTCCTCTTAAATCTTATTCATATTCCTCCCATTAAACTTCTCTTTGGCCCTTGAATTTGAATATCTTGTTCTTCAGGGAATCTTCATGAAACATAGGGACTTAATTGGAGGAACCTGAATTGGGTCCTGAAGGCATGTCACCACATCCTCATAGGCCTCTAGCCATTGTATGCAAAATAGGATGCCATCTTCAATCTGCTGTTTAGTGGTTGTGTGTCATGGGTCCAGTTACTTAGGATCCCAGCCTGACTTTTCTATTTCTACAATGAGTTTCTGGTACTGTCGTGTACTGAGGCTTACAGTGGAGATCCACATGGAAATATCCTGTGAGGACATGGGAAGAAGAGGCCTGTGAGGATGAGGCGTGAAGAGGTCAGTGACGAGGTGGGAAGAGGTCAATGAGGACAAGGTCGGAAGGGGTCAGTGAGGACAAGGTGGGAAGGGGTCAGTGAGGACGAGGCGAGAAGGGGTCAGTGAGGACACGGTGGGAAGAGCCCTGTCTAGTGTTATGGCGAGCCCACAGGCAGGATACCTTGGTGCCAGCCCTCCCTGTGTCACCTTCACTGTGCTACCATCTCTGCTCTAAACCCAAGCCCTTGATTTTGTCTCCCTGCAAGCAGTGAGTGTTAACTTGTTTTATACTCATTTACTCCAGCTGTTGACTTAACACTTCCATCTCTGGCACTGTGTACATGGAGCAGCATCATGCTATCAGGGACAGAGCTGGACTAGCAATGCAGGGTATTCTTGTGTGGATGACAGATGTTCCCTGTTGGGTGAAGACCACCTGGCTTGGAGCTGGCTTCTGCCACCCTGGAGTCAGGTGCCACGTCTAGGGCAGGCTCCTGGAAGGAAAGGCCCTGATGGAAGACACATGGTCATCAGTCCTCCTCTGAAGAGGGTCTTGTTGAGTTGGGGATGCTAGTACCCCAGGAATGAGTGCTCCAGTAGCTAGAAAGTCCTCCTTTCTGGTGTCTGGGGAAGAAAGTCCTGTGAGTGGGCACAAGATGGGGATTTATGACCCAAGACATTGGAAGCATGTGCACAGAGCCTCTGGTGAGTGGGCCAAAATGACAAATGGTTTCTGTGCAACTTTTTATTGTCCACTCTCATAGTGTATTTCTTCTGAGAACCACTGTATTTGTGAGTGCTTTGATTGTATTAGTTACTTGTGAGATGGAGAAACCTTTCATCCACAAAATAAATATGGATCTGCTTTCAATACATTTTATCTGTTAAACTTTAGCAGGCAGGAATCAATCCTAAAGCTTGTCTTTATATTCTACCAGATCTTTAGAGTTCAAATTGAGATAAAACATTTACTAAGCTACTAGGTTCTGGGTGGGATATTAGTCTTTTGCAGGGTGGGAATCCCTTCTGGAAGTTCTGTGGGATTTTTGTTTTTGAGATATCATCTGCCCTCTGCTTCTCTCATCAAGTTTACCTTTTTTTTTGTTGTTTGTTTTTGGCCCTAGGTTTTCTAGTCTGCAGTGAGCCCAGAAGTGCCTCTCAGCCTGCCTGTCCCGCAGGTGGCAGTAGCTTTCTCATGGCCAGATGCCAAGAGGGTAGAATTCCAGAGTTGCAGTGTTAAAGGACATTTAGTAGAATCTTCCAGGTGGCTCTGGCAGCCACCCCTAGAGGCCCTGCCGTTGACAACAGCCCCGTGTGTGATGAGTGTGGATGGCATCCATGGGGGATGGTACTGCTGAGTATCAGAGGGCTTGACAGAGGGAGGAGGGGCAGAACACTACAAGGGAAGTTAGTGACTATCAGGGAGGTGAAGACGCAGATTTGGGTTCCAGAACGGAAATGTCAAGTGCGTGGGGATGAGCTGCACTGGCCCCTCAGTGTAGAACAATTAGGTAATTTGGAAATCCAAGTTAAATACACATCTCAGGCCAGACTGCCTATGTGCTTGACAAAAATGAATGTAGTATTTGCTGTCATGAAGACGGTTTGTGGTTAGTGCTGCTCACTTGTTTGAATGACATAGTCAGCACAATTTCATCACTTGGGCAGTTATTCCAAGTGAGGACATCTGCCAGGCTGGGGCGTGGTGCTGGTTGCCAAGCTCCCTGGGTAGCCAGTTTTCAGTTGGATTTATAAGAGTGCAATGTGGTTTTTCCTTTTGGGTTGAAAGTTTTGCCTTTCCTCTATGACATGTTTATTACTGCCACCCAAAAGTGTGTAGCATAGATAGTGCTTTAAGCTATGGGATAAAGTTTCCTCTTGTGATGGCTTAATTTTTATTGCGCTCTCATAGTGTGCTAGCTGTTGTTCACATGACACACATGGCAATGCCTGTCCCTGGAGATCACACTCAAAATTGCCTCTGCCTACGCATCCACACACAGCCTCAGCTACACACGCTGTTCCCTCTTCACTGTCCTTGGCTCTGGCCCTGTTTGCCTGGCACATTAATATTTCCTTGCACTCTGCAGTTTCTGTAGAGGAAGTTGTGTTTTACACAGGAGAAAGCAACTTACAATCACAGTAGTTATTTAGTTCCAAGTTACTTAGGAAGTTGATAGTAACCAGGTGTTCAGCTGAAATTCCCCTGCAGGATGATGTCAAGGTACTGTGTGGCACATGTGTTCTACTTTTGCTAGAGGTGACTTCAGACAAGTCTTTCTGCTTTGCCAGGCAGTGTATTTTCTGACTTTTGCCAATTTAGCTTTTCCGTGGTTATGTGATCCTGGGATGTAAAGTTTGCCTGGTTCATTGAAATCTCTCTGCATATTTTTGTAAAAATCTAACTTTCTGGTTTTGAAAAGCTTCTCCTGTCCCATGAATGGTGTGATGCTAAATTGCTCTGGACCAGCAGTTGGGAAGAAGAGCAGCTGGGAGCCCGTGTGCCCAGGTAGGGCGAGGCCTGCCCAAATGTGTGAGCTTAGTGTGTGTGTGTGTTTGGGGGGTGGTGGTGCTTGAGCTTTCAGTGTAGACTGCAGGTGGGAGGGAGCAGAGTTGTCGATTGTCGGCCAGGCCGGTATGCTGTCTACTCAGATGACTTGGCATGGCTCCCATCCCCCTCATGTGCTGCCCTCTGCCCAGTGGTTCTTTTTCTGACCCCTGGAAGGACCACAGGGAACCAGAGGACACCAGGAGTGCCAAGTGGGACTCATGTAAGAAAAGGAAGCTTTGATATGAGGCAACACAGAAGCCATCCCTTAGAGAATATTTATTGAATATTTCCTAGGGGCTAAAATAGAATACAGTTGTTAAAAATATATGCTTTTGTAGGATACCACATACCTTGGGAGAGAAGACTGTGGTACCTATATGTGAGAATGAGTGAGATACTGGAGGCCATTCCCCTGTGCCTACCCTCAGGCGTGTGACAAGGCGGGTGTTGGCTTTGGGGATGGGGATGGGGATGGTGCCAGGTGTACGATGGGTGGAAGAAGACTTTGAGTAGCTGTGGGGCAACATGTCAGGGCTGCACCACAGCAGAGCACACCTGGGAGGTGGCATAGCAAGAAGCCTGCAGATACCCTCAGAGAAGTGCTGAGGCTGCTGGGAAGTCTGATGGGAGCCGCCGTCTTGAGGGAAACTCTGGGATTGATGTGTGGGGATATAGTATTGGCTATATTGGGAATATGGCCGGCAGATCTAAGGCTCTGTTGTACATCCCAGGCTTACTGGTTATTTCAGTTAATTTAGTAATTTTATTGATTTGCACCCAATATGAACCAAGGAAGAATTTTAGGTGTTTAAGTGTACATACTGATCAAAATGAAAAATGCACAAGAAAGAGATGACATAATTAGGCTCAGACTAAGGGCAGAAAAATAAAGTCAGTGCAGTATACCAAATGTCTGACACAGGTTTTCTGTAAAACATCTTGACCTGGGCCAGGAATTAGCTTGTTAGTGGGCAACAAGGATGGGATCCAAATTATCCACTTTAAGAATTAGAACCACTTAGGTTCTAATTGGTGGATTCTGTTGAACAAAACCATATTCACCCAACCGTCAAGTTTTTAGGGTAAGATGGAAGCCTTCTTGGGATACTTGGGGACCAGAAAAGGGTTTGTCATGTCCCCAGGGCAGAGGACCTCTCCTTACATAGCATCACCTGGTCTGTTGGTCACCCTGGGGCCACAGCACTCTCTTGGGTGGAGGGGTCTTCTTGCCCCAGGCCATCTTCTGCTCCTTACTGGGGAGAAGGCTGACTGTTGTCATCCCATGTCACCAACTGAACACCATCTAGCTCAGGCAGTTTGAGAAAGGGCAGTGAATTCACTGTACCAAGTGTCCTTAGATCTGCCAGGGCTGCAGCAGAGGTAGGAGAAGCAGGCCTCGATGCTGCCCACCCACATTTGTAGAGGGGGTTGCAAGGGATCAGCATCATCTCCCTTCATCCACTTGAGGTGACATTGGCTCAGCCCCAGGTCTCCCAAGTTTATGGACAGCCAGCCCTGTTGCCGACTTCATGCTTTCCTCATGGCAACTCCTTTCTTACTTACAGTGGAAACAAGTGCTTGATATGCTCATTTTATTTTATGTTGATTCACATCCATGACCAATAAACCAGTATCTGAACAAATGTCACCACCAGTGGCAATCTGAGCGTCCCATGTCGGGGCTGAAAGAATCACTCTCCTGCCTTTGAGTTTTAGATCTCTACCATTGGAGGACTGGCCCGGGCCTGGAACACAGGAGGTGCCCTAAAAGCCTGCAAACAGTTGATTATTACTCAGTTGTAATTAAATGGACTTGTGCTTAATAATGTAAAAAAAAAAAAAGTTGAATTGTTCAAGAATTCCAGAGCTTGAATGTAAGCATATCTGATGATTGCTAAGCAAGTGTTGGTGAGGGTGTGGAAAAACTGAACCCTTAGCACTGTTGGTGGGGTGAAAAATGGTACAGCTTCTGGCCTGAAGTTAAGTACTGGTTTTAAGAGTTTACCATACATCATAGAATTTCCCACCCCCTAGGTTCTATATTCTATAGTTATAGGAACTGAAAGCAGGGTCCTGAGTAGACATTTGTATTCGGAGGTTTTCCCGAGCATTGGTCACTTAATTCCTCTCTGCCATCAAGACAAGAAAGTGACTCTCAGGGGTCGTATTGGAGGGGATATAGAGTTGGAGATAAAAGTCGTTGAATTAATGTCCAACAAATGGATGGCCACTATCTGCGATCTGCCTTTGTAAATATGACTGGGGTTCTAACACTAAGAACTTGCTTAACATAACTTGGGATTTGAAAGACCTTAGAAGCCGCAAATTGACGCTGAAACAGAAAACAATGACCAGGCCACAAAGGGCAAATGCTGTGAGTCCTTTAAATCTTTGGTGGTGTCTCCCACTAAAGATGGGGCAGAGTCAGAATACGATTTGGGTGGTGTTATCCGTTAGGACATGGGTGGCAAGTTGGCTGGTAAGGGGAGGACCAGTTGTATTGCCTGATGGAGTCGTGATCGAGGAACCATTTATTGGGACATGAGACCGACAAGGTGGTGATTATATAACATGGTGAATATTGGATAAGCCTTGTTTGATTTGTGAATACTTACAAAACAGTTAACATAAATATTGTATGTATTTTGCCACAATTAAAATTTAATTACGATAATTTTTCCATATCAAGAGGAAAGCCCTGTTTGGGGGTTTGTTGTTGTCCCATAATGTACTTAGTCACTTATCAATGGCACTTTGCCCAGGTTCTTCCTGGACATGGAGATGCTGGTTGGACTGTCACCAGGTATAATCAAACACATAGGCCCTGTTTGGGGTCCCGGAACTCAGTGTGTCAGTGTGAGGACAGCCCCATCCTTGTGAGAGCGGGGACCCTGGAACACAGTGTGTGGTCCTGTTGACAGCAGAAGTCCCCTGGAGCACAAGTGTGGTCCTATGACTGGCAGATGTGAGCCTCTCTGACAGCCCCACCCCCCCAAAGCCACGTTATACTCTATTCCCTTAGAGGGTGGGGCGTATCGCGCGCGAGTAGGCTTCTTTGCACCCCAGGACCACAGCATCCTGGCCTGGTGTTCTGTGTAGGAAAGCAACAGTGAGACATGGAATGGCTGACTTTCTAAAGACATTGTAAACAAGGGGAAGTGACAGCTCAGAGCTATCTTCCAGGATCCCTTGTGCACTTCTACTCCTCTGGTTAGTCAAAGCTTTCTAATGAGCTGATTTCTGCCTTCCTGAAATAGTTGACTGTTTTGAACACTTGTGCTTTGTGCCCCAATGGCATGCCAAGAGGCACTCTGTGATTGGTCTTGTCTGACATATGGTAGGAGCACAGCAAGCATCGAGCTTTAAAATGAAAGCAGTCAAGGAGCAAAGTGTTTTCCATTTCTCGCGACAGTTCTTGGATTTCCTATCTTCTCTCACATTTTACCCTTACTTTTTCTGAAAGAGTGAGCCTTTTTCAGTTAGTCCCCAGTAAGACTGTTCATCTGTGGATGGTATTTAAGTTTGAAAAGACACTTCCAGATTCTGTTATCAGTATTCACTAGATAAAATTGTATCCTGCGTAAATTAGTGGTAATAATCATTCCTCAAAGAGGTTTTAAAAAAGTATTATGGGGAGCTATCAGAGGTTGTTGCCCTTAATTGGTAAGTAATTGAATAATAAGTCAGTGTGAGGGAATAGATATATATTAACTACTCAAAGTTAATCTGAAACAAAGACTTGGGTATCTGAGCTCACATATAATTTTGTAATAATGTCTTATTTCCAAGGAAGTAATTATTTCATATCACAAACTTTTGTCATTCCTCTTGTGGACTTTAATAAATAGGTTTACGGAGAGATTTGAGTGTGTATGTTTTCATTGAACGCATCAGATCTTGTGTAATAAACGTGGGATTGTTTATTATAATCTTCTCCCTGTGTATAGCAAGTATCTCAAATCAAATAACTTGAGACAAAAATGATTTTTCTATATTAAACATTAAATTTTCATTTAAACCAATAAAATTCCTCCTAGTTTAATCTGGTACCTTCATCCTTTTTTTTGCATGTAGTGAGTGCAGTGCTCTAAATGTTTGCTTCTCCCGAAAATTCACAAGTTGAAGACTAACCCTAAAATGATGGTATTTCAAGATGGGGCCTTTGGGAAGTGCCTCAGTCACAAGTGCTCTGTCCCCAGAATGGGAGTAGTGCCTTCATGTGTGAAGATGCAGCAAGAAGATGCCTCCTATGAGAAAGCGGCCCTTCCCTAGACACTCCGTCTATCCTTGTCCTGGACTTCAGTCCCCAGAACTATCAGAAATGAACTTCTCTGGTTTATAAGTCACCATGCTATGGTATTTGATTAAGCAGCCCAAATGGACTCAAATAGTGAGCAGTGAGAAGGCTGGGCCCTGCCTTTGGTGCTGATCAGCACACAGCAGCTCATGTTCCCAAAATCCCCTGAGGCTGGCCTGCTATCAGGAGCCATCTTACTGTGACCTGCGCCCAGAAGACTGGCAGAGTCTGAGGAATAATTTGCATCCATCCTTCTCTCTTGCCACGTGACAGTTAAGGACAGATGAGTAAAGGAGATTGAGGACCTGTGCTGCTGTCCGGCAGCAACTCCACCTACAGACATAGCATAGCCTGTCATCTCTTCCTCAGAGACATGAGCACAGGGCAGTTTCATGGTCTATGGCTGTTTCTTCCCCTTCATGCCAAAACCCCCTCAGGAGAGGCAGCTGTGGCCCTGGCATGCTCTGGTTGCTCATGGTCCAGCCAGGAGGTGGTCAGAACAGGTGAGGTGCCATGTGGGTGATTCCATCTGCACTGTCCTAGGTACGAGGGGTTTCAGAGCACTTGCTACAAAACAGGGCTTCTTCCTCTAGGTCAAGTGCACAGATCACCTGTGCCCAGTTCCTGGTTCATTACTTTATAGCCGTGTATCAAGGTGAGT